GGGGAGAGGGGAGAGAGGAGAGAGGAGAGAGGAGAGAGGAGAGAGGAGAGAGGAGAGAGGAGAGAGGAGAGAGGAGAGAGGAGAGAGGAGAGAGGAGAGAGGAGAGGAGAGGAGAGGAGAGGAGAGGAGAGGAGAGGAGAGGAGGCGAACAGCGAGGCAGCTGACATAACATCTAACAACCCTCACGTGACAGGTGGGGAAAAACACCAGCAGAAATGACATGAAGACATCTTGTTTACATGAAACTATGCATGTTGTTATGCTCGAATCGCTTGGTCGGACGGACTGAACTTCCACGGATGCGCCGGGCGCCGACGCAAAAAGCGATCCAACACATGGTGCGAAACATATAGAAAACATCTTGGAGCCCCCCTTACCGGCAGCGGGGTTGATCTCCAGGATTTTATGTCTTAAACTCACATAGGCTGAGCAAAGCTGTGTCGCACCTGCCTTGGAGGGCGGGACATCTTGGGACGGGATTGGCTGGTCTTGGATGCTTTGCTTGTGCTGAAAATCCGAACCTGCAGAATCTGCCTGACCATGAAACAAAGCTCAAATATATGCGATGTTCATCCCAAGCACTGCCCCAATCTAGATGACAACATCCAAAGTGGCCATCGCCCACTACAGTCATGTATGGCCATCAGACTGGCCAAACCCCTTCCCCATCCGCTTCACTTGTGCCTTCGTACTGGTCCGTGTACTGCTGGTGCAGTCTCGCGTTGCCTCAACAGCACAGCCGCCTTCCCGTTTCGGTAGTCACCGAAGCCTGGCCCGTCCACCACGGTCTCGTTGGGTGGGTGAAGCAAGGGTCCAGGATGTCGACTCTTTTCAACCGGGAAGACCCCAGCTTCGATGACACATTTGGCAGCTCCCGGCAAGCTTGATTTTGCCCAGAGACGGTGGCTGCCAGGATGACAGACGAAGGCTCCCCATGAACTAGATGACCTCTCCTCGGGAATGTTGCCACGCATGCCAGGTGCACCAAAACGATATGGTACTCGTGTGCTGGCTGACGTGTGCCTAAGTAGGTCTCTTTGGTGTGTGATGTGTTTGCACAAGCCAAACACACACAACAAAATTACACAACAAATCTTGAACTGGAGATGTTGATGCTTGGAGAGCGAAAAAGCCTAAACACATGATGGTCGGCTATGGTAGATTGATCTATATCTCATGAATCAAACCACCCAGGACTACAAGCGAGTAAAGGTGAATGTCAGGAACAAAGATCACTACAAATCATATATTATATAATATGTCTGGAGGGTTTGGGAAGGGCCTTAACAGGTTACAACTGGTGACATGCTGGAGGGTGCTGGTATATATACTTTAGATGACTGGGAGTGGAGACAGCCTAAGGAAAACCCCAATCACTAAATGGTGAGCACAACAATGGATCTGAGCCTGTGTGGTTGAAACCCTTCTGATTCCACAGCATGATTTTTTTTGCTCACCATTCACCTAACACACAGTCCCTCTGGCGAAAATGGAATCCAACCCGCCCCTGCAGGTTTTGGGCCTTATGCGACCATTATAACTGAACAGTCACCACGTCCATTCGAACAGTCAGTGGTCACGACCCAAACGTGTCGACCGTGTCGCCGGGGCCTCGACCAAAGCACAGCGTGACCAGATCGCCGTCCAAGACCGCTGGACGTCCGTTTGGGGTGAACAAAAGAGAGAGAGAGAGAGAGAGAGATGACTGTGGGATTTCCAACCTAGTATTCTTTCCACATTTGGGGAAAATCAGATTGATGTTTCCACCAGGTTGGATTTGAGATAGCGGCCGCTCGTTCCTCGGATCCGTCTCCGTCCCCAGGATCCGGTGGTGTCAAGGCGACGCCAACGATGAGGGCGATGTTGTTCTTCAATTGCCCCTCAGCCGAGAGTGAGACGGGCCCGCGTGATCCAGAGAGAGAGAGAGAGAGGAAGATGACAAGTCATCACTATAGGATCACGGGCCTGAAACGGGATGAAAAACACACATCACAAAGATCATTCAACATGTCTACTTGACGATCTTGATGGAAACACACACATAAAGGGTGCCCAACCGGGGGGCATGGGAATGTGCTTATTATGTTCACCATGATGCGTAACCGAAACAACAAGAAGACTTCAAAACCGACATAACCCAACTATACATCAAGGAATGGTGGATCATCCTTTTGTGCTGAACGAATTGGAATGCGTTGTTGCAAGCTTGCTATGCACATCCATGTTGTACCATATTGTTCTACCCATCGCCCGAAAAAAATCCGCGCGGATGCAAGGGGAAACCTTCCGAATCAACTTGAGGTGTTGTCATCTCAAACGGTGCAGTTGGTGTGAAATCTGTTTCCCCACTGTGCTTCCCAAGCTCCATCCACCGGACTACATCCACCCCCCCAGTTCTCGAAAGCGGCGCAAAGATCCGGTCGACATCCCTTGTGCGGTCGCAGTGGCTCTTCCATCCACGTGGTACGTGGTCGTTTGGTCACCCTGCGACGTCCAGTCACTGGTCGGAGCTCCGTCCTTGGTGGAAAAAGAGGTCTGAGATCGATCCCCGACACCTCCGAGGTGTCCAAACAAAAAGGACGGAGAACTGGTGATCTGGTCAGCTGACCTGGTATACATCTTTCTGGCGGCACAGGTGGCTTGATAGTTCGCCCTGTGTTTTGGGTTTCTTGGCTCTGTAGTGATCTAAGTTACGAAACACATCCCACATGCCAACACATCCACAGGCTCCTATGATAGGAGCGTGAAGAAAAGCAAACCCAGGTGTGTCCCCGCATTACGACGTATCTTCCCACCCTCCAAACATGAAGTGGACTATTGTCTCTGTCATTGTCCGTTTCCATGATTGTTTGAGGGAGGGTATATTTGGTATATTCTATGTGATAATGACATTGTATAACTGCAAACATATATCATATCATATAATATCATTATATTGTAAAATGTTATTAATAGAGAGAGAGAGAGACACAGCATGTCACAGAAGCCTGCAGTTTACAGAAACCACAAAATGTTGTCAAGGAACCGGAGGCAGTGACGCCAACTGACAGCAATTCGGGACTTCCACTGGCTCCTGCGGCCGCATCGGGACTGGGAGTGCGACATTCGTTCCAGACTTCTGGACGCGCTTCGTACCTTGAAAAAGTGGGACATGGCCCTCATGAAACATCAACAGGGCACAACAGGTATAGTCCGGGTATATGCTTGCTCGGCGAATCCGCTTCAGTGCTGCAACACAACCGCCCCGCTGTTCGCAGGTTGTACCTTCGTGGGTTGGACCAGACGTCAGTAGCTCGGAGAAAAATCCGATCGTCATGTGTAGACGGATCCGCAAACCACCCCTGGCCTCAACGGGCAACGTATGGCAGTCTGGATCCCCTGGGCCTGATCCCCTATCCACCAGTCAAAGGTCCTGCATCAACTCTTCGGCCAGTGGCAGGATGAAGCTCAACACCTGTACGACGCTGCTCGTACGACCGGGGTGACAGGCCAGGGTCAGCCTTGGCCAAAACTCGAGTTGTCTGGGGCTTGCACGGCATGCAAACGGAGACAGTCCGCGAGAGAAGTGCATCCAAATGGGGTGGGTTTATGAAGTTTATGAATCAGTAGACTCAACCAGCAGTCATATTAATAGGGGTGCTATCCATGGAGGTTAGGGGTGCCCATTATCCATTCACTTAGGGACTAAACACCACCCCTCTGTGACTCCTGGAAGCTACACTTAGCAGTGATCGGTCCGGCCCAACGTCCGTTCTCCGGCACTCCCTTCTCCGGAACCTCTCTGTCCAGTCACTCGGTCTCCGGGTGAAAGCCCCGATGATCCATGCTGACCCGGCCTCCAATTGAACAGCCTCTTCATGTGGGGGCAGGAATTTCGACGCCGACATCCCTCTCGCCCGTCACTCGCCTTGGCAAAGGGAGCGCTGGCCTCGTCGTTGAGGCGGACACGTAGGTTGTGGCAGCCTGGCCGAGTGCGACGCAAGGCGTGCGAGTGTCAAGAGAATTGCGTGCGAGTGTCGCTTGCTGATGAAGGCTGCGTCCGGAAAAGGGGCGAAAGACTAACATGAGGATCCAACCGGTGAGAGACCCACAGACCAGAATGTTAGGTTGTGGATCCAAGCCACATTCGGTAGTCCCAAGACAAACAGGACCCACCTGCGGACTCACGGACTCTACAGAACCCGAGATGGTGCCGATCGAAAGCCGCCGCCGAAGGCCCTGCGTTGACCCGGTGCTTTGTTGAACATAACAGCTTTGTTATATATTCCCTACAGGTCAATGACCTCATTTGACTAGCCGTGGCCTTTTCTAAAAAACACTGAAGGGTGTCAAAGACCAGGTTTTGCTGGGTCAGACTGGACTTGTAGGGATTGTGTTTCTTTTTTTTGCGGGTGGTCGGTCTGCCCTATGTTTGAAGATGTTTGAAGACTTCAACATCACCCAGGATCAGCCAAAATGGGTGTCGACGTAGTTTGACCAGTAGAAACTTTAAGTGTAGTCCCTATAGAATCCCTAGAAGTCCAGTTCGACGATATGTTGACCGACTGAAGTAAAGAAAAGTCCTGAACTCGGGTGACCTAGTCAGACCATGCTTTTTATCGTCTTTGACTCCTCAGGGTAGTCTTATTGGTGACCCAAACGGGAGGATCCCAGTGCCAGACGTGCTTTGATCTCCAGTGTTTCGTCGCTTCGCCGGGTACGGTCTGATTGACCAAGGAAACGGTCTGATTCGGCAGATCGTTGGACCCTTTGCGATGCCAAACCGGAGATCGGCGCCACATGGGACGTCAGGTGGGACCGTGTTTACGGCTGATGAGACACGTTCGGTGGTGCCAAGTCGGACACAGCTTCTTCGCCCCGACCCCACAGGCGGGATGCTTCATGGACACCCTTACTTCACCTCCAAGGGGCCTATCAATAGACACCCCTTAGGCTCTTAGGGTGTCGAATTGACGTCTCTTTCAGTTCTGAACGTCTCTTCACCTCGCGGCGCTCGCGTTTCGGTCCAAACCCATCGATCTTCACGTGTCTTGATCAAAATCTCCCCCCCAACAACATCCGCTGATTCGTGTTCCCTGTCCCAGATTTTGCTGATCTTCGGTGGGCACAAGCTCCCTTTCCCATCGAACCGAGTTTCGGAAGGGGCGGCCAGGAGACGCAAACGGGTTTCGGAGACCCGCACCCTCCGAATTGGACGCCAGCAGCTTGTCCGCCCTCGGGTGTGAGCCATTGGGAGGTGTGAAAAGGACGGGGGGCGGAGAGAAAAGAAGTTGGAACAGAAGACATATAGTAGCTTCTTAGTTAATTACTACGAGTAGTAGTAAGGCCAGGAGCCCACAGTAGCGTCCTTGTTCCCTCGATCGTCTTTGATTGACTTGTTTCAAGATGTTTCAAGTGGCAGTGGATATCTAGCTCGCTCTGGCTTCAGGGCTGTATAAACACCATCATTGTCCACTTAGGTCGTGGGATCCACCACATGCCTCTCGGGGATGCATCCACATGGCCCGACCGCGCTCCGTGAAATGAGAAACCTAGCTACACATGATACCCTAGGGATCCAGTCGTACCATCGAATCTCTTAAAAGGTACGACTGGACCCTCGTGGCACCTACAGAACAGTGTCTCCAATCACCGTACCTGAGAAGGTACTTGGATCCCTAGGGTATACTATAGCTATAGCACTTCCTGTCCGGGTGCCCTGTCCGGAGACCTGTTTACGTAGGGTAGGGTAGTCTATTGGACACCCAAACAGGATGATCTTGGTATATCTTGGTACATGATTACTATTACTATCAAGGTGCAAACAAACACCGTTTGATTTGACACGAAGTTCCCCTTCTTTTCTCTGCCCTTCCTCTGAGCTTACACCACATCAGTGGCGTCCTCTTGGCGCCTTACTGGCGATCTCTTTGTTCACAAAAAGGACACCAAACAGCAACCAAACGCCATTTTGAGAACAAGGGGCTAGAGCAGCATCACTAGCAGTCACTAGTAGCATGAAGTTTGGTTAGGAAGTGTCCCATATGGTGTTTTCTACCAGCCGCGGTAGGGACACTTGAGAAACCAACGCGTTTCCAACTAAACAGTGTTTCCTTTTCCATCCTTTTCCTCTCTCCTGTTTGCGATGCGCTGAAGGTGAGATTTGTGACGTCTTGAAACAGGAAGGCGTCAGCCTTTTGCAACAAACCACTCCCTGAGCCCCAATCAGTACCATCAGTTAGATTTTCCCCGTGCAGGTAGTAGGGTATGTATAGCATCAGTAGCAATGATGCCCTTTCTCAATATTTATTTAGCTACTTGCATATGTAGACTTTTGCTACTTTTGCAGGGGTGAGGGATCAAACTGATAAGGATCAACCAACACCTGAACTGACGTGTCACCCGGGCGACCCCATGAGCACACCGAGTCGAGATCCGTAAGCGCGACCAAATCAGAAGACGCATCGACGGCCCAAAACATTATTGTTATTTTTTGTTTAACACAAGTGCTGTGACGATGTGGAGTGATGATGTCTGTGTGATGTTGATATTGTGATGTCAGGTACGACGAAGGATGACGATGATGTGAGATGATGTGAGAATGGAGGTGTCAGCATCATGACCAGGGGACCAAGGAGACCAGGGTTCACTCAGTGACCAGGGAACCACACATTGTCCATTTTGATACTGATACGCATGATATGTTTGCCATGCTCAATGCTCATGTTTATCTCATTTGTTTTTGATGTTCATTCTTTTTTGATACCACTCTTGCACACCCATGTGCGTAAAAAAAAGTGCTTGGGCAAATCCTCGGCAGCTTAACATTAACGATTAAAAAGACGGAACTCGTTTTGATCTTTCGTATTCTTTAGTCGAGATCCTCGATTTGAATTTGGCACTAAGAGTCCGAAAACATCGTTCGCGCCACGTGGCTTGTTTTTTTTGCGGTCGAGCCAAGTGACCGCATCGAACAGTGAAGTCCTACAGTACCATTTGTTTCTGAACCTGTCAAAATACAAGAAAACGACGTGAACCAGGAATTTGAAGTGCTTCTTGGAGGGGGTGGGATGCCAGCTCATCAAGTCTCTTAGATGGACAATTCACCACCGGCCAATCAGTCTCCTGTAGACGTTGATGGGTAACACCGCCCCCCAATTGGGACTGTAAGACCTCTGGATGGTAGTTTAAACACTTCCCAGGTAGTTCTTCCATGTTCTTCCTTAATAGGTGTGAACAGTCAAATGCCTCGAAAGCGCAAAACCAGCTCTCCAACCTTGGAGAGCGACTCCTTCAGAGTCGGGATCATCCCCTGACCATCCAAGTCTCTTAAACCACCACACCACCACCCAGCTCTGAAAGGCAAGGCCATTTCGACAGGCGGTTTGTAGTAAACCTCTCTCGACGGGTTCCGTCGATCCCAAAGTCTCGGTCGAACCGCGAGTTCGGAACTGAAGGACCCTGTCGGGGTGCCATGCCATGTGGGGGACTCCCACGTGATGAGTGCCCAAAAACTGGTGTTTTCCTCACATGGTTCGTCCGCCTAGTCCGACCCCTTCCGACCTATATCCGATCGTCTTCCGCCGCTAGCCGCTCTGCCGCCTGTCGACAGCCGACCGCCGACAGCACATCTGGCCGCGACGTTGCCCGCTCGTCGTTCCACCCCATGGTTCGGATGCTGTTCACCAAGTCTCCACGGTGCTGAGAAGTTGCCCAAACTCCAGTTCACCGCGGCTCCCTTGGACGGGCGGACGGCGGTCCCGCGACGAGGAATCGATGAGCGGTCAAGGACCGAGGAATCGATGGAGACCACCGTGCGATGTTTCAATGCTTTTCTGGCTATACCCTCTCTCTCCGTGCTCTGATGTGCAATTATGATGTGCAATATGCTGCTTTCTGCCGAAAAAAACGACTTCGTACATACAAATGGAGCGCAGAACCTACGAGTGTTTCTCACAAAACAAGGACTTGCTAGCTACTTTACCAGAAACTACTCGTACAACCACCACTATCTGCTGTATCACCACCACTACTCTGACGAATCTTGCTACAGGAAAGATTCTCTTGGACATGCTCTTGTTTGGAGGAACATTTGTTGAAAGGGACGACAACCCCCTGGTGACCAACATAACGCAACAACCAAGCATGGTATCGGTCATGTAATAGCTGCACACAGATGCGAGCACCACCGATCAACACCCGGCCTTAACTCCTACCGTATTAAACATTATTTAACGCCTACCGTAAGAAGCCTTAGTGTGGCCACACTGTTTGGGAATAGGATGTACCTGCTAGAAAGTCGGCGGTGTGCTGTCTGCTTGTAGAATTTCTTGTGCCTAACAAGTCATGAGCTTGGAAAGTTGTCTCGGGAGACCACACACTTCACCGGCAATTCGATGTTAAGTTTCCACCCGCCTTGCTCTTCTTGTCTTCTGCACCCCTTTACATCACTTGTCACTTTACGCTTCCATACCTATGCATCGGATGTTCCCAGTTGGTGCATAAATGTGTCAATTATATTCAAACATGATCAATTACGACATCTCTTCCATCCAGGTTGACCTATCTGGAAGGTCAAAGTATACAGATTTTTAACTGCTGTTCATTGCCTTTGAACCCCCCCTCGAAATCCATCTCCTTCCCATCCGCCGAGCAGCCAGGAGCATGTTGGCCAATCGCAGCGCGTCCAGCACCGCGCAGCGAAACGCCGCGGTGGGACCCACCACCGTGAAGCCTCCGATCCCGGCCACCGCGTCCGCGGAAGGAGCATGGCCGGACTGGTGCCGCAGCCGCACAACGTGCCACGGCGAGGGAGTGAAGGGTCATAGCCCGCGGAATGAGGGTCAAGTGGGTGCAGTGAGGAGTAGTCTCTAGAGCGTTCCATGCTGTTTCGGAAAGGAGCGGAACCATTCGGACCCTTTGACTTCGCGTGAGGTCTTCTACGAAAGCATGTGTGATGTCCATACCCAAACCATCCATGGGATTGGAATAGTTGCCTACATGGATGGGTTGCAAAGGTGTCAATGTTTGCTATTCCATAAATGGATGGTCTGGGATAGCAAAAAATAACAAAAAACACCGACTTCTGAATATGTCTCAACTCTTTCTCACGGAACATCACACATCTCCGAGCGTGGAAGCGTCAAAATAGAATTTGCCTTGACGGGTTTGATGTGGAATCGACAAAATAAATATATATATATATATATTCTGAAACAAAACCAAGGTTGTGAATGAAATCGCTCCGTGAGCATGGCCGTTCAATTTGGCTGCCAATGGCAACTCCACCAACAACGGCACGGTGTCCCCGTGTGTGGCCACACGTGACACAGTGTGGCGCTCCTGTCCCATCTCCTCAGGTTCGGTGGGCGCAACCCCCCCCTGGCATCCACCCACCATTGTCCCATCGAACCCAGTTTCGAAGCTTGGACTGGTAGTACGAGAGGTTGAGAGACCTAGGACCCTGTACCTGGTACGTGGTACATCTACGGGATGGGGAAAACTAGATAGCCAGGCTGTTGAACACCTCCACGCTGTGTGGTCAGTGGTGGAGCCCACGTGGTTGGACACCGTCCGATGCATGGCGTGCACGCCTTGCTCCCGGAGTTCTGCACGGTGCACCTCTTCGAGCTGAGGGCCTCAGTGCTGGTGGCGTGGCTGGCGGTGGCTGGCTGCGGTGGGTCTTCTTGATTCTGTGGGTCAGGCTAAGTATTAAAAGTATAATTTTAATCTATAATAATGGTGAATATAAAGGAAATACATTTGATTGGGGGTGGTTGGCGATGGATTTGAGGGGTCTGGGAATTAGAGTGATTTAGAGTGAGTTTATTATAATAGTAATTTCTTTGGAATGCTTTGGATACTATGAAGCCATCTCTTGGTTTTGAACATTGCTCCACAACAAAGCGGACCAGGGAAGATTTGATCCAGGGGCCCGTCAAAGGAAGAATGGTTGTCCAGCGCCAGGGCTTTCCATGCAGGTGTCAGACTGAACCGTACTAGAAATATGCCCTAAGGATCCAAGTACCCTCTGAGAAGGTGCTTGGGGTGGGTGCTAGGAGGGTCCAGTCGTGCCTGTATATATACTCAATCAATCGACCGTCCCAGGTAGTGGTGGGTTACGACTCCCAGGTGTGTGGTGTTACGACCGTTCTTGTAGTACGTTCAGAAGCTCCCCAAGTAGTTCGTCAGGTCAGGTAGGAGCTCCAACGACCTTTCTTGAGTTGATCAATTCACCACAGACCGAGCATGACCGAGCACTTCAGCTCGAGGGGAAGCTGCCGGCGCTACGGCTCGGGAAAGTGCGCTACGGAGCTAAGGCATTCTTTGGGAAAAAAAACTACGGCTTTACATGCATTGCGTTTGGAAGACCAAGGGCCCAAAAAGATGCATACATTGGCAGACTGGTACACATGTTGCATCCTTTTCTGATATACAGGGTTCAGGTATGGCCAGTACGTACATTGACATTGTGACAAATTCCAAAGCAGCACACCCAAGACCAATCAAGAGCCCCAAGAGCCTAGCCCAAGCCAACGACGTCCGTTTCCGCACGGGCACAGTTCGCTTCTTTCTCCGGCTCCAACTCCAGCTCGCATGCCTCGCTGGAGTCGGTGTCCGAACCCTTCGCAGGCCTCGAGACACGATGCGCGGCGCGGGCGAAGATCGGAGCGCCACGAGCGGAGAGATCGAGGTTCCACGGGACACGCCGGGACACGCGGAGAGTTCGAGGTTCGATGCCCAACAGCGTCAAAGATCGGCGCCACGGTCAACGAACAAAGAAAGACTGTTTTGCCCCCAGAAGAGTCATCCACGACGGGGTCGTTCATGCCTACTTAGGGCTGGCCTGACTCCTTGAGGTGCTTGGGGAGGGTGCCAGGGGGGTGCCTAACATGGTCGAATACCACCGAATCCCTGAGGAGATGGGAGAAACAAAGCGAGCCCTGTCGGGATGCCCTAGCTCAGGATGAGTCATGACTGGACTTGTCCAAGTCTCAAAACCCGCAGCTCTGTCAGGAACTGATTCTCTGCGTCGACCCACTGCTGCGTTGGCCTGAAAATAGCATGGCACAGGACCCGCAGAAAACAGCGCGGCACGTTGAAAAAGGATGCGTTCAGGATCATCATGTTGACCTGTCTCTTTCTTTTGCCTGGGTCTGTTGACTTTACGATAATGATACAGCAACACACCAGGCCATCCTGGAAACCCCTAATCTCTAGAAACACTACAATTACTCTTGAACTCTTTGATCATGGAGAGGTCAGTACTTTTTTTCGCAGCAAATCACCGTCCCTGCTTGGCTCTGGTACCTATCGCATGGCTACATCCCGGCCACATGAGGTTCTTCGGGACTCCGAAGATCGCGACCGCGGAGTACGACCACCGTCCCGACCGCGGACTGCCGCGGCCTTCAAACCCCCTGCCTGCCGGACTGACATCGCGACGCATCGAATCGCGTTCGTCGCTGCTGCCCAAATGCCCAAAGCCAAAGGGATGGAGGTTTGCGAAGTATCTCGAAGAGTTGTCCTTAGGACGAAGTAGACTTCGAAGAACTATACCCCACTTTATTTGGGGGATCCAATGATTCCTTTTTGGGGGGGGGTCGAAGGTCCATCTTGAGTGCAGGTGATGCTTCGCAGGTCGTTTGAACTGCTGGTGTTTGCGCATCAGTTCTATGGGGCTGTGGGTCCCGGTGGCCGGTCACAGGTTGGACGGTGGGTGACTGGTTGTTCGTTCGGTGGTTGTTTGGTTTGATGTCGCTCACCAAACGACATGGGACGCCCATCCGAGGGGATGGCAAACACCCCTACTAGCCCAGACGCCCAGCTCCTGAGGGGTTGTCTCATGTCCAGCACCATACACTTGACTCCGACCAGTGTTTCCATACCTGGAGGTTGGACAAAGCATTTTCATTCACCTCGACAGTGGAAACAGCGCTCTGAAAAGGTCTCTTGGGGGTCGTGGAATGTTCATCCTGTCCAACTCCAATGGGGTGAAGCATGGAAGTTATTAGCATTTGAAGCTGATGCTGGTGGTTAAATAGAAACACTGTTCAGCAGTTCAGCGTCAGAGATGAGATAAATGACACAGGTTCATGGTCAAACAAAGGACTTTTTGCTGCTCATGTCTGTGTGTGAAGCCGCTTCATGTCGAGATTGCCTCACCACCCCAGCCCATCTACTCAAACCGTCCTGTATTTAAATGCGGGAAAACCTGGTTAGTCCTGAGTGGAAAGTATGGTTGAACAAACTGTCCATGCAATCCCATCCGATGTTTACCCACATGTCTCGATCCGCCGAAGGACTCCCATCATCGCGATTTTGATTTGGTCATGTTGAAACCAAATGTACGGCCAACCTCGGGAGCAGCGGAACGACGGAAGCTCGGCGAGATGCGCACCACATCGGCCCGGTGGCGGTCGTGTCGTTCCGCAGCTCTGAGCTTGCAGCACGATCGAATGTTTGTTACACGGTGTTCACCCACGGAGTGGAAGGACTCCCAAGCAGAAACACCTATACGAAGGTAACGAAGGGCCATCGCCACCATTCCGGAGCGATCGGACGCGATGCCGGAACGTGAGCTCCTGGCACTAGTATAGCGTTCGAACGCTACGTTCGGGTGGAGGCCATCTCTGCTATAGTAGGTTGGAGGCCATCACTCTTAGGTTGGAGGCCATGACTACTCCGTCACGTTCGAAAGCTACTAAGTAGCTGTTTGCATTCCCAGATACTCCATGTATGCCATATATGCCTACATTGACCCCCAAAACCACTCCAACTGATCGGCATATATGGCAGTCCCATGGAGTGTCTGGGATTGAAACAATCCGATCAAACGTCTTGGTCGACTCGACTCGACTTCTCCATCCCAGCAGCGGCGCTTCTGGTCGGGCCTTTCGCCCTGGGCAGGTGGAGCGACCTCGACCTGTTTGGTCGGTCTACAAACAGGTCTGGTGTCACTATCGCGCGGTCTACGCTGTGTATTGTGCGGTCGTTGGGTATATGCTGCCAGATATTGCCAACAGTGGATTTATTTTTGGCTAGTACAGGCCTTTCTCAAAAATTGTGATGATTGTTTACCGACTGTTGCCAATATATTGTAGCAACTATTCCACACAGGCATGGTCTGGGATATGTCAAGTTCTTGAACACAAACACGAGCGTAGCAAACAATCATCTAATTCTTTAAACTTTATCACACGGCCCCCTTACCCCCCAGAAAAACAATTAAACACAATAGTGTCTGTAGTGCAATAGAACCTCTGAATGGCCAAAGGAAGCCACAAACGAGCCAAGCAGCTAAGGCCGATGATACTGCGATCTAGGTCTTTCGTTGTTGCGTGGTGGTCACGTATGCTCGCTGGTATGTGCGTCATAATTCCTTTGGGGATGGGTCATGGCACCATGTTTGCCCGACCAGTCCACCATATTGACCTCCAAACCATTCCAAACCAGGTCGTCCACCATCAGGGGCGGTGTTTAAGTCGGCGAAAGCACCAAACACCAACTCATCAAATCGGTCATAACTCCCAGGATCAGCTGTTGGACCCGGCTCCGCGTGGGAGAAAAGCAATGGAACAACAGAAACCGGAAAACAACAACAACAACAACAACAACAACAACAAGTGAGAAACAGGAACCTCCCTTCCCCTCGATACTCCCCCAAAATAAAAAAAACACATAAACAGCATGCAGCATCCAAAACAACACATATCACATCCAAGTGACCATGTAGGCTACATCCAGGCCGTTGGCCATCTGCTGCTTCACCTTTTTATGTTGTCGCAACTGGGCTAAGGTCACCTGTGGCGAGGCAGCTAAGGTCACATGTCCGGCATGATTCGAGCTCCTTGCTCGCGGTTGCGTGGGAACCCTATAGCCTTCGCGGGCTCGACCCGCCAAGCGATTCTCGAAGCATGTCATCACCGGAACAAACATGACATCCATGAGCCTACCACATCAGCATGCCATGGTCGAAGCAGAAGGAATGGGGCAGCTTTGGGAATGGAGATGTTTCATCCACTTGTGGAGATCGTGCACCACGGGACCAGGAGGGTCTTTCTTTTCTTTTCTTTTCATTATGTTTTTATTTTTTTCATTCATTCATTCACTCATCATTCATTCATGCTCTTTCTTTCTTTCTTTCTTTCTGTTTTTTTTCTTTCTCTCTTTCTCTCTCTTTCTCGCTCGCTCTCTGCAAAGGCTGAACACGCATGTGCTTCCACCTCGCTAGTCGGGACCCTTCATTCATAGCACCTGGCGATTGGGTGCTTCTCCTACTTAGGTAGAGCAGAGCATTTGCCCATGATGCTGAGCATGCAGGCATCCATGTGGGTGGCCTTGGGGGGGGCAATTGCTAAACCGGGAGAGCCATTCTCATCACATCCGCATCATAAAGTGGTGGAGAATGGGTGGAGAAAATGAAGCCATGAACTTTCACCCCAAAAGCAACCGGATCATGCTTCACAACTTGGGGCCAGTTTACGTAATATGCCAAAACACAAAACACATACAGATTGAACATGATTGAACTGAACATGCAGCATATACCTGGATCTTCCAATGTCTTCCAACTATGCCAACTGTCTGCCTATCTTGGCCGCTTTTTATTGCAGACAATGTGTCACAGTCGGATTATCCAGGTCTATCATGATTCTAAGAAACCTCAGACCGAACACCACTCGGGGCGACCCTAGAGAGCTCGGACCGAACACCACTCGATGGTTCGGACCGTCTGGCAGAGTGAGAATACCAAGGTTTGATGGTTGGAGCGGGTCGGAGGTTGCCAACATGGTGGACCCCAGCGTGTTGTTCGTTCCAAAGCTGAGATCGCACCAACTGAGTTGGTGTTTTGCCTCTGGGGACGGTGACTTGAAGAAATCGACACCGTTCAGACCTCACAAACCAATTTAAACAAGGTCATTGAGGTTTGAGGACTCAAACCTCATGACCTAAACGATCCCGCATGCTGCATGCCACTTGAACCAGGAAATCGCGCACCAATGAGTCAAACGCACCGACGATCACCGCGTCAGGCACTCGCTTGTAGTGCTGATTGATGACAGGCTCTGGCGCCCCTACCACCTGGGAACGAGAAGAATGGGAAAATATAGCGAGAAGTTCGCAAGAACCGAGCGTTATATACAAGGGGTCAGTACCAGAGCCCCCCGTTTCGGGGTGTCTAATTATAGCTCCTTAGAGGTTAAGAAGTATCCACTAACCACCGCTTAGGGGGGCCCTGGTACATAACACAATGACTTTTCTGGATGTTTCACTGACCCCTTTCTCAGCCATCCTGTGCCGCCAGTGCGCTCACAGAGTTACTCATGAATTGAGGTCTATAAAGATCATAAAGCCGTGCTACTGAATTTCTCAAGCTTGAACCCATCGGAAAGCCTCCCAAAATATAAGCAACAAACATGATTGTTTGTCAGGTATCTGTATACCAAGAAAAAGCAACAAGGTTAAGAGAATCCTTCAAGCAACAGTTAGAGGGGAAGGTTAAACAAACGAAAAAAAACAAAATTGGGTTAGTACGGGTAAAGTATGGGGTTGCCACGGGTTGCGAAAACACCATGTTTCTTCCTTTTTAACATACCCTCGGAACGTGTACGGGTATGGCACGGGATTGAAATCCACCCGTTGTGTTTGTATCGCTGTAACGTCTGAGTCTCAGGTGTCAAGATCTTTGTTGAGGTTCTCCTCCACTCTTTAAAGTCAGAGCAAAGACTTTCTATACAGGAAATATGTAAATTCGTGTTCTTGAATGTTATTTATTGATTCTCTTTGTGCAGTATGCGAGCTGGGTGGAGGAATTACATTGGACGTGGACACAAACGGACGCCCATTCAATATATGCTTTATTCATCAACAAAAGCCCTATTGCAGAACGGCACAAATACATGTTGTCTGAAAAAGAACAATGTATTTCAGAATGTGTGTGAACCCCGATGATTTTGCGCTTACATCTTTAAAATAACACGTATTTTGGTGCTGATGGTAAAACATAAATAACATAATAGTTATATATAGGGCTATATAGGGTATACTAACAGCAATTATGTCATTCTATTTCACTCCATCCATGAGCATCTCAGCTTTCTCTACCCACGATCCCGTATTCCGCTTTGAAGACCTCTCCAACCTGGTCAGCCTCCAATCCAGTGACCGTTGTGGAGGTCGCAGTTTGCGCACGAGAGACACTGAGCAACAACAAGGTGTGTATATAAACGAAAGTCATTTCAACATTGGAAAGTACAACCGGGTTTTTAAAAAAACATGACCCTGAACCCTTCTTGGCATCTGGTCGATCTTCCACCTACAGTACACCTCCCAACAGTCTCCGCCTGCACAGTGGCGGGAAATCGCTCGACGACTTCCGCCTCTGCCATGGCGGCGTTCAAACCCACCGTGTGCCCGTCCGAAGCGGAAAATTCCCTCAGCCGCCCGGCAAGGTTCGCCCTGCTAAGCAATTCCCCTGCTGAGGGATCGTCGGACAGGCGCACGTCTAGAGCAGCGATTTGCGGCACACTTTCTCAGACTTTCGAATTCAGTTTGCTGCGATGGTTAAAATATATGAGGGGTCCAATGCAAATGGTTAATGCTAATGTGAAAAATTGTAACTGTGGATGAGGTTAGGTTGGAAGATACTTAAGTATTGAGCTTGTCACGTACCCTAGGATTCAAATCACTATTGGATTGATGAGTTTTACAGAACTATATATATATATTGTTTCACTACAGTAATTCTTTTTTAGACTGCATTAGGTCAGCCATTCTTTCTTTTAAAAGGTCTTTGCAGGCTAGGGTCTGGGACGTCTGTGTACTTTCTCGTAAACTGAGCTGCTCTTGAAGCTTCGCTGCTCCATTTCTGACTGTATCTCTTGAAGCTTCGCTGAAGCTCTTGAAGCTGATCTTCCCTTATAGGCTTTGCTATACTCATCGATCCCATCACTGGTCCCAGCACCCGACCGACCACATCGACATCTTCTAGACTCAGTCAGTCCACAGACCATCCATCCATGTAATTTTGGAATAGTTACCTTTATAAGGACCATGGATGGGTCGTCAATTGGGGTAAGTAAAATCACGTGACTCGTGGATCATGGATGGTCTGGGAAAACTCTTTCTGGTCTTCATAGCCTGTTGGTGGTCCCCAAATAGAGAGTGGCACGGTTTCCCATAATTGCATTCTCAGTGGGGATCTATATAGAGTGTTCCATCTATTTGGGGGTCTAAATCATTTTCTCTAAACATTCCTTCTCCTCAATCCCCTTTCGTTTCATTCCCATGGTCGGACGGTTGCACCGGACCACTAAGCCGCACGTGTTGCACCCGGTCCCCACTTTTGAGCCGCCCGTCGAAGACGAAGACCGCCTTCCTGTGCACCGTGGAGATCGTGCGATCGTGCGCGACGTGCCGAGATCGTGCCGCCCCGTCTCGAGGAACGCACGGACCGTCGATGGTCAGAGGTTGGCGATGCTCACGTGTTGATTCCAGCTCACGTGATCGGGCGCAGAGCACCCCAGATGTTGAGCGTGTATTAAAACGTCTTTTTTTGGAAGGAAATCTTTGCCCAACAGTCCTGGAAGACAGAACAGGACTGGCTACTAGGAGCGCCGCTTTCTTGGCTGAAGTGAAGAGGAAAAGGAATGAAAAGGATGTATTTTCTAGGACCCTGAGGGTGGGAGTCTGTTTCAAACCAAAAAAAGCCTCCGGTTTTGGGGTGCGGCTTTTGGAGCAAGTCTCCGAAGTCAGCCTCAAGGCGGCAACCATTAGGTTTTCTAGAGTCTAAAGACCTCCGAACGAAGGGATTGAAACGGATAGGTCTTGGAGCAAAGTCAAGATCCAACTGCAAACATTCCGGTTTGATCGGGCAGTCCCGAACATTTCGATGCTCAGGACAGGGATGGTGTAACCACTTAAACCTGCCACTCAAACTACAAGGCTTAGACTTGGACTCCAAACCTGAGACCCTTCTAACCGATGTTTCTTCAGCCTCACCTATGTGGAATTCACACACCTTCACTGGACCCCAAAGGTTGAATAGGGCGGCTATGTGCAGCGCAAACGGTTGTTACTGGCGAACATGTCTGCTCTTTCCTATATAACATGTTCTTATACTCAATTGATCCATGTAGACTTGGGCGCCCAACTCGTATAGACGTCGACATGTCATCTCTTTTGCTCGTTGCACTGGCATTTGCCAGCATCCCTTCCGGATCGGGCCGCTTCCTGCATCGGGAACCTCGACTTCCAGCTCCAGGGCAGGGTCGAGAGTTGTTAGTCACATCTGAGACATTTCCTAACATGGCTTGGTGGGAAGTTGACCCACAATATATAATATATATATACACCATGAGACCTCCCTTTCATCTACCAGTGGCTCATTTCCTGAACATAAGCTTATTCCACCTGTCAGACGTAGTCACTTCCAAACAGAATTCCCACAGGTCGCCACGTCGGTCGGGGTGACACTTCACCGACGCTGGTCCCCTCGCCATTCGGCGGGGCACCGGGCACTCGGGGCCACGCGTCAGGTTAGGCAGGGATCACTCATGGCTCGGTCCAGCCTGGTCAACGCGGTCGCTTCGGCGGAAGAGACTGTCTTTCGTTTTGGACTCTCCCGTTTTTCCTCAGGTTCGGTGGGTACAGACTCCCCCAACCACCCACCGTCTTGAACGAAACGGAGGGGGCGGCCAGGAGCCAGGACCCCAGAGAGCATTTGCTCTCTTGAAGAGTTGAAGACCCAAAGGATCCGAAGTAGGCATCTTTTTTTGGGAGGGGCCTGTGGAAAAGGATCTCTATTGCTGTGCCACCAAAGGCATGGTGTCACAGAGTTTCAGGCTTGTAGCAACTCGTGTGCTTCACTCAAGCCTTCCCCGAAAAGCTACTCCCAAAATACTCGTTCACCACCAAAAAAAAATAACCTACTCCGGGACTACTCCGTGGTTCTTCCAGGGATGTCGAGTTGCGTTCCTCAAAACGAGGACCTTTGTGGACACATGCGGTCCTCTGCCTGCTATCCGCAAGAGTGAGGCGTAAAACTCTTGGAAAGAATTCCCAGGAAGAGACCCAAAAGTCTGCCTCGAAATCCTTTAGAGGATATAATAAGTATTACTAGACAAGGGGGGGCATGATGGCGTATGCATCTGATTTTATATGGTAAGCTGCAAGCCGCAAGTCCCGCTATCCACAGCAGCGGGCCCATGGCAGCCCAGAACAAGGCACTAGGAACGCGAAGATCTCCTTCATATCCCTAATTGGGGCTCCAACTATATCCTCAAAAGTTGGTTAGACCCCCCTGGCACCCCCCCCAAACCATCTTGTCAGGTAGTTGGAGTCCTAGGGATCCCTATCTCGAAGAATTCCCGGGCCCCCCGGACGCCGTCTGCTGCCGTTCGAACTCCTTCTTGTTTCGATCCTCAATGACCTGCGACAGCGAAAACTGATGTTGATGGGGAAGGACACCCAGACACTCCATGTATGGCATACATGCCTACATTGGGGTGGTTTGGGGGGGTCAATGTAGGCATATGTGGCACACATGAAGTGTCTGGATCCCTGCTACCCCAGGGGGTGGGGGGGTCGGACCCCCAACAGAAAATGGATTATCCATTTTTGACCCTGATGATGCATTAGCAACAGTCTAGATCCAGTGATGATCAGTGTCGTCCATAGCACCAGCCTGCACTTACCCAACCTGTTTTGCACTGATTGCATCATATTTTGCATCGTTTGGGTTGTGCTTCTGATCTTTTGGCGTCATCTTTTTGGTCTCTTTTGGGCTGCGTCCTGTTTCTGGTCGAGAACAAAAAAAGCATTGGATAGGGGTCCAGGTATCTGGCATTTCGAGGTGCAAAACAAGCGAGCGTTGGGTTGTATATCTTGTTACATCGAGCGTTAAATCAAAGAAACTGTAACAGACCTTGATTTACATTGCGTGGACGCGTTGCCTAATACACTGCATGGACGCGTTGCTTACGCCCGCGGGGCGTAAGCGATGCGGACCCTCAGGGAGCTCCGAGCAGTGGGACCGCGGTGCCGTCCAAAAGGTCGCGTTGCTTACGCCCGCGGGGCGTAAGCGATGCTCCTTGTTTTTTTAATTTTTGGCTACATTCAAAGCAAGACCATCATATTCAATCATGCCAGCATGGTCAAGTGAATTCAGGCGGTTCACACGATCTTGGCACTTTCTTTTTCTTTCCCTGTGTTTTAATCTACTGCCCAAGCGGAAAGCCATCAAAAGTCTTGAATCTGGTGGGCACCCTGGCATCTCCATGCTCAGACTTGTATTCAGTGAGCTTGCTGAAGCCTCTTTCCCATTCAACCGCGTCGCTTGTCAAAATTTCTCGGGGCCACGCGGAGATAAAACTGGAAACATGTTGGCTGTGTAAATAGAATATTAAAATGGAATTCCTAAAGGTACCCCCCCCCTCGATCCTCCATTTTCGAGGAGGGGGGATGTGTCTGGGACATGGACGCCTTCTGAAAGATTCTGATGGCGCAGATGGCTCTGGCACGAAGCATCTCTCTGTACTTACAGACAAGGCCATCTGGTGGGCTTCAATGCTTAGACAAGGCCATCCCAGCAAAGCCCCCAAGTAGGATCAAGTGGGCAGTAGGCAACTAGGCCGTCTTTCAGTGGCTGGTTGGACACTCCGTCTTGTCATTTGGACACTAGATGCCCCTTTACTTCCTCTACTTGAAGAAACCCGTATAGTATATAGGATGGTATAGTTCATCCATGTCTATCCCATTACCAGGGTCCAGTGGATGATGATGGTTACGTTGCAGGCCTTGTTTAAACAAATAACAGACCCAACCTAGGGCTGCTGCGGGTTGCTTAACGTCAAAATCGCCCCCACCGCTGGCAACACCGGCCAGTCGAAGATCTGCTCTTCCCAGATTCACTGGGAGTCTTCCAACAGCTTTGTATTCTTTTGCATGTGGGGATTTCAACATCAACTATTTCTCTTCTATCAGCCATGCCGTGCCTGTAAACGCCTGTAAACTCTACTTGATTCTCTAGCAGCTTGCCAGATTGAGAGCTCCAGGCAAACTTGGCCAACAAAGACCTGTCACTCCAGCTGGTCTGCTGATCCTCGCACGCAGGCGGGGCCTGAGCAGCCCGCGCGTTGGTCTTGCTCACATCCTGGACAAGCCGTGCACCAGTGAGTCCAGCGAGTCAGTGCATTCGGCGTGCGGCTTGAAAAGTGGCGACCCCCAAACCGAGGATATCCGTGCACGGCTGATTGCGTCTCCGTTTAGCCCTAGAGGGTCCCCCCTTGTTTCGCCTCTCCGTTTCGATCACACAGAGTTCGACCCCAAAGGTCGGACACTCAAAAGCCCCACTGACAACGCAGCTACGCCATTCAGCGGCAGCTACGCGATGCGGAATTGAATGCCCTGCCTGCCGGCTGTGAAGCTAGAAGCTAAGCTGGCATTCAATCAGACCCATCAAACTCATCAAACCATGAAACAGTTCCACCTTCAGCCGATCGCCCCGACCTTGTTCAGCCGCCACTCTCCCAGT